AAAAGCATTTATTTTCCAGTCTTTCCATTGTTCACAATTATAGTTCAATAGAAACCATTGTGATGTTATCGCATAAAAATGAATGCTCTTTATATAATCAAAACAAAATTGTGGCAACAGATTACAAGCAATATTATTAATTCAATTTAACACACTATAATTAATCAAATTACTTCCTTAAAAGTTAACCATTAAAATGAGTAAAACTTAAAAAAAAAATAATTTAAAAAACGCACATTTAAGTCACCATTATGGTGATTGTTGTTTGTTTTAGGTTTGTTTTAAAATTACATTTTTCTCCTTCAGTGATTCTGCTTGTTAACATCAGGTGTCTTCAATTTTGGCAATATAAAATAAAGAGTTCTTAATCTTTGATGTCTGTCTGTTATTCAGATATTTTTGTTTAATTTTGTGGTGTAAACTATACTCATTTTAAATGGTTAACTTTTAAGGAATAATTTGATTAATTATTTCTCAATTCGAATTTGTTCAATTTTGCTTGTAATCTGTTGCCACAATTTTATTTATTAGAAAAAGCACATTCATTTTTACAGTGCGAATGAATGTGAAAAATGCATAAAGTATGTTAGAAATGGTCTTTTATTGCATGTCACTGTAAGCTTTTGTAGTTTTTGTAAAGTTTCAAAGAAATATTCACAACTAGCCCCGACTAAACCAAGCACAATAAACCAGCCAAGCAATGCATTTGTTTTCTTTAATTATTATTTATAGTTGTTCAGACACGTGTATATACAAATACAGAACTTAATTTTTTTTCTTTTCTTTTTTTCAAAAGTTTGTTCCTGTTTGTACAGTGGGAAAAAAGCAAGTACAGAAGAGAAAATTAAAAACCAGCAGAACCAGTGTCATCAGAAGTACAGGAGTGAATGTGATCTGAATCAACACACACGCACACACACACACTTGATTTCTCCAGCACACTTCAGTGAGGAGAACAGAGACGCCAGTAAGGGTGTTGGTTGACTAAGGCAAGTGTGAAACACCATCACTAAATCTGTCAGAGTCAGATGAACCGAACTGCAAACAGGACACATGACATTTGATGGACTGAAATCCAAAGAAATTAATTTTAAACAATGCCTTTCTTTTTTTTCAGTGCGAATTATCCATACACACACATTAGAATCATTTTAGTATTTTTTAAAAATTAAAATTCAGCAAATTCATTTTCCTATCAATCTAATTAATATTTAAATTCTACTTCCTGTTCAGTTCAGTTCAAATTCACAAACAAGAACTGACCGTGCGAATGTCACTCGACCCTGACAGAGAGAGTCAAGACTCGTTCACACCAAAGACGAGAACAGATGAAACTCGAAAAATACCAATATGGTGCAAAAGTTCATTTATTTCAGTAATACTCTAAAAAATGCTGGGTTGTTTTAACCCAATTTTGGGTAAAATATAGACAAACCCAGCCATTGGGTTACATTTTTAAATGGCATTTTTAAACCAATGTCTGGGTTTGTCCATATTTTACCCAAAATTGGCTTAAAACAACCCAGCATTTTGTAGAGTGTATAATGCTGGGTTGTTTTAACCCAAATTTGGCTCAAATATGGACAAACCCAAATGTTGGGTTAAAAATGTAATTTAAAATTGTAACCCAACTTCAACTTTCACCTGTACATTTTTTTAACCCAACATTTGGGTTTGTCCATATTTGACCCAAATTTGCATTTTTTAGAGTGTAATATATTATATAGACTCATTACATGCAAAGTGAGATATTTCAAGCCTTTATTTGTTATAATTGCGATGATTATGGCTTTAACCCCAAATTTAAAATTAGAATATTGTGAAAAGGTTTTCATATCTGTAAGCCATAATCATCAATTACAACAAATAAAGGCTTGAAATATCTCATTTGCACGTAATGAGTCTATATAATATATAAATTTCACCTTTTAAGTTGATGAACGTTTGCAGCATATTCTAATCTTTCTAAAAACCATAAAGATATAGTTCTACAAAATGTATATATGGTTGGAATCAGAATCCATCCTGCTTTAAGAGCTCGAGTATTTAAAGGGACAGATGAAGAAATCGCAGCACGTATAGAATAACTAACGTGTGGACGCTAATATCGATATGTTTTTTGGTGTGAACGGGCCTTCAGTCTGTGGCGCTCTGTTGACGTGGACCGATGGCAGATGAATTATTCTCAGAATCATTGAAAGAAACAAAAGTACAAAAACTCAAGAACCTTCAGCAAAACATCATGAAGTAGTGCTAGACGCCGTTAGCCGAAGCGCTTTGTGCAAAACTACACAACTCTCCTGTGTAACGTTCTCGTTTCAGTGGAACTACGACACACACTTACGGGTGAGAAGAAAGACTAACATTTCACAAACATGTCGAGAAAAGAAGAGGTGAAAACAGCCAAAAGAACACTTTATTTAACGTTTTTTTTATCTTTATCAAGTCCATGCACATGCCACGTTATGAACCCAGCAAGTTCCTTCCATTAAAAAACACAGACGATTCGGAAACCGTCGCTCCTCTTCTCATCGCATCCTTGCGGGAAATGAAAAACTTTGCCAGGAGATTTAAAAAAAAAAAAAACAGAAAGGTAGATGAAGCGTTCCTATTGGCTGAGAGCCTCAGAACACAGTTCAAAAGTGTCCACTCATTGGCTGCAGAAAACGTTGCGTTTGTCGTATGCATTCACTTCCAACATTTTACTCAGTTTTTTTTTTTTTTTGAAAAAACACGTGAATCAAATTAATACCTTAATATCAAACATTATGTACAACACATTTTGATCATAACATTTAATGCGGTATCCATAATAACATATAACAATGATGCTGAATAATAATAATTAATAATTAATCATAATCAATGTTTTATGAAGTGTCTATTTTTTTTCTTGTCCTCCAGAAAGGTACAAAAAACAAGTAGTATTCTAACACTATAATGTTATGTTTTCGACTACTTCAGGATACACAGTATCCATTTAATACGCTGATTCTTGTTTCCCAGTTCAAAGTGTGTACAAAGCATGGTATTAATGGTAATAATTGGAGTACAAATGATACAAATACTACTGAAGCTGATTTTCAAAAGTTTCCTTCATAGTGTAAAACCATGAAACGGAGCACATATGGTGTGTTTCCTCTAGTCCTGACGCCGCGAAGCCGAGCTGCTGAAATCGCATTGTTACTGTTCACACAAAAAACAAACACGAAACGCAGGGGATCTCCGAGAGCGTGGCAGGACTAGCAGAGCCAAACAGGCCTATCGAGAAGCAAAAAGGCAGAAAACGTTATCCGATTTGCGACTGGTTGAAAAGTCCACAGTTTTGTTTTATTGTCAGGAAAGCGTATATTCTCTGACTGGAGAAACGAGACTCTCCGTCTACTTCAATCTTGAAGCTCGCGAGGGTCTTCCACTCACACACTGACGAAGGGAGAGACCAGGCAAACACGTTTAAAGTCTATTTGGGTGAATCTCACAAAAACACGTCCCGATCACATCTCACCAGATCACAAAGTTACACTCTAAAAATGCTGGGATGTTTTAACCCAACTTTGGGTCAAATATGGATGGACAAACCCAAACGTTGGGTTAAAAATTGTAATTAAAAAATGTAACCCAATGGTCCATATTTGACCCAAAGTTGGGTTAAAACAACCCAGCATTTTTCATAAAGAAATTGAAGCCTGTTTGAGGACCGTTCATTGAGCGATTAATGTGAATCGTTTGTATTCCTCGCTTTGGATAATTAATTTTAACATTTACTTACAAATCAAGTTGTATCTGTGAAGATTAATTTTACGATTCTTAATCATCCATCATGACATCTAAATACTTCATCAGTTAAGCTGAGGTGTGTGTTTTTTTTTTTTTTTTTGTTTGTTTGTTTTTTTGCACTACTGATCACTCTAAAAAATGCTGGGTTGTTTCAACCCAAATTTGAGTCAAATATGGACAACCCAATGTTGGGTTAAAATATAATTTAATATTTTAAACCCAACTCCAACTTTCACTTTCAACTGTAATTTTACTGTAAATTACATTTTTAACCCAACATTTGGGTTTGTCCATATTTGACCCAAATTTGGGTCGCCAAACGGGAAGAGCCGATGACGGTTTTAAAAGTCTAAAGTGTACACTGGGTTATTTTAACCCAAATGTGGGTCAAATATGGACAACCCAATGTTGGGTTAAAATATCATTTAATATTTTAAACCCAACTCCAACTTTCACTTTCAACTGTAATTTTACTGTAAATTAAATTTTTAACCCAACATTTGGGTTTGTCCATATTTGACCCAAATTTGGGTCGCCAAACGGGAAGAGCCGATGAAGGTTTTAAAAGTGTAAAGTGTACACTGGGTTGTTTTAACCCAAATGTGGGTCAAATATGGACAAACACAAAAGTTGGGTTAAAAATGCAATTAAAATTTTTAACCCAACTTGAACTTTCACTTTCAACTGTAATTTTTTTTTTTTTTTTTTTACATTTTTAACCCAACATTTCTGTGATTTTTTTGCACAACTGTTCACTCTAAAAAAAAATTCTGGGTAGTTTCAACCCAAATTTGGGTAAAATATGGACGAACCCAACCGTTGGGTTAAAAATGTAATTTAAAATTTTAACCCAACTTCAACTTTCACTTTCAACAATAAAATTTTTAATTACATTTTTAACCCAACATTTGGGTTTGTCCATATTTTACCCAAATTTGGGTAGAAACAACCCAGCATTGTTTAGAGTGTCACCAAACGGAAAGAGTCGATGACGGTTTTAAAAGCACTCTAAATAATGCTGGGTTGTTTTAACCCAAATGTGGGTAAAATATAGACAACCCCAAATGTTGGGTTAAAAATGTAATTAAAAAAATTACAGTTGAAAGAGAAAGTTGAAGTTGTGTTAAAATTTTAACCCAACATTTGGGTTTAACCCAACTTCTACTATCAACATTAAAACATTTACTTGCATTTTTAACCCAACATTTGGGTTTGTCCAACCCAGCATTTTTTAGAGTGTGGATTTTAAGGAAATTTTATAGATAAATAATGAAGATTCGGTCAGAGAAATGAAAGATTTGTCGAGTGAAAACCAGCCATAGACAATAGAGTGCCATTGGGTGTTTAAAGGGCAATAAAATATTATATTTACTCCGCAATCTCTAAAAACTCACATGACATGGTCTTATAAAATGTTTCATAAAAATCATAGTTTTAGAGATAACATCCTGACCACACTTGTGGCTTCAGCTTCATTGTGTTTCTATGTTGTTACACTACCTTTTCATTTAAAATATACATTGTTAATATTTTAAATGTCTGCTTATACTATATATAGTTTACAGCTCAAGACGGTCTGAGTCTTGAACTGTATTGGCTTTCTATATATGTCTGTATTCAGATGGACTTATGAACAGCGACCTTTGACCTTTATGCCCTACTTGCCAAAATAGGGGTGTGGGAAAAACTTTTATATTTTTATTATATTTACAATCTTAATGGTTAAAACAGTTTTCATTTTGTACATGCAAAATGTAAATTCTTATTTTTGTCTTGATTCTGGGATGAAATATGGTGTTCTTGACAGTTCTGGTGAGATTCGCCCATCGGTTGTTCCTCCGTCGTATGTAAGGCTGTCGGAGGAGAATGCCCATGTTATAATGTCTCGCGTATGTCGCATCAGCATATTAAACGAGTCAGAATTGCACCGATTAACAGCTACAGAACAAACAAATGCAGTAATGAAAAACAAACAAATCTTCACTTTATTTCCCCCATCGAAATGCTGAATTTGAAGCACTTCCAGGAGATATTAGTATCGTGTACGGTATAAGGCCTATTCAAACAAACGTTGGATATGAAACGTGGAGTCCCCTTCGATATTTGGTTCCTAATAGAGCCGGACACACAGTTATGACAAGAACAGAATTTCCATGATCCGTCAATGTTGATATCTCATATCAATTGATAAAAGGTCATAGGAAAAATATAGATATTTATGTTGCAGTTAAGTTTATCTTACAAAATACAAAATCATTGTTTTAGTGGTGTGGTCTACTAAGATAAGTCCCTCAAATTGCTGTATAGAATCAATTCCAAATTCACACAAATCAGATTATTTAGACGAACACACTCATCTAGCGTCTTCCTTCAATTGGGGAAGATCCATGCGACGAAGTGCATACCCGACCGCTTCTTCCAATCATTTTTGTTAAGAGAAGGCAGACGAAGGACGAAAGGCAAAAAGTCTTTGTATATGTATCGCTAACAGCAGAGCCGGTGAACTCGGTTTAGGTTTGATGCTTATGTCTGTTTTATGGGACACCTTCAACTCGAACAATTCTCACAGGGTGTTCGGCGCTTCTCAACGCTCGCTCTAATTACCCACCAAAGAGTCCAATGGACGCAAATAAAACGCTCCGCCCCCTTCCTTCCAGCAGCCAATCCCCCCCGTGAGCGGCCGTCAAAGTTGATTGGTCGGTTGGTTAAACAGGTGATCTGCATTTCTTCTTTGCGCGGCTAATCGACTTTTCCTAATAAAAGACAGCGAAAGACCACTTAAATATTTGGAAAACAAAAGAAAAGCAGAGCAGAAGTGTTCCTGGTGGATCTCCAAGCCCTCGGTCCGCTGTGCTGTGTTTCCGCAGGGCTGATTCAGGGTCAGGTGAGGGGCTATAAGGTGAGGAACACAGAGATGCACAGCAGCAGGAGGGCCAGTAGGGGGCGTGATGTCTGGTGTCGCAGGCCTGAAGTCGACACGTCGCTCCGGGACGGTTCGGCCTCGTGACTGGTGTCGTCTAGAAATGAGGAGATGGACGATAGAAACGAGAGAAATGACGGTTTATGGTTAGGCAAGACACTACGAGACGCTTTTTCATGCTATGGTCAATTTTGAGACTGATTTTCATAACATGTTGTGTCAGAGTAGTGGAAAGAAACCATCATGATGTAAAATGAAAAAACTTGCAATTGCAATTTTTTAAAAATGTTTTCAATCAACTGGGGAAGTCTGGTAATATCTATTTTTATATTTATATTTAATTTTTTTTTTTTTACCTTAATCACATGTGGTGTCTTGCCTTAACTTAGACCAAAACCATAAAAAAAACATTTTCGTCATTAAAATGAAACAGACTTTCACTGAAAACATAAATGCAACGGGATTTATTGCATTTATATTTTGCATTTCTCACAATTCTCACAACACGATGCATTTCTCACAATTCTGAGAAAATTTTTTTGCAATTTTGAGATATAAAGTCGCAATTCTGAGAAATAGGGTCGCAATTGCGAGAAAAAAAGCTCAAAATTCAGACTTTTTTTCTCACAATTGCGAGTTTACATCTCTAAATTCTGACATCTTTTCTCAGAATTGTGAGATATAAACTCGCAATTTTGAGTTATCAGGCCAATTCTAAAGAAAAAAAGACTAACTTTATCCCCTCAGAATAGTTTATATCTCAAAATTCTGACTTTGCAACATGCAATTTCAACTTTACTGTATATCTCGCAATTCTGACTTTATAAAACGCAATTGCGACGTTATATCTCCCTATTGTGACTTTATATCTCGCAATTCTGAGTTTATAACACGCAATTCTGACTTTATATCTCACTTTACATCTCGCAATTCTGACTTTATATCTCACAATTCTGACTTTATATCACGCAATTCTGACTTTATATCTCGCAATTCTGACTTTATATCACGCAATTCTGACTTTACATCTCGCAATTCTGACTTTATATCTCACAATTCTGACTTTATATCACACAATTCTGATTTTATATCTCGCAATTCTGACTTTACATCTCGCAATTCTGACTTTATATCTCACAATTCTGACTTTATATCACACAATTCTGATTTTATATCTCACAATTCTGACTTTATATCACGCAATTCTGACTTTATATCTCGCAATTCTGACTTTATATCTCGCAATTCTGACTTTACATCTCGCAATTCTGACTTTATATCTCACAATTCTGACTTTATATCTCGCAATTCTGACTTTACATCTCGCAATTCTGACTTTACATCTCGCAATTCTGACTTTATATCACGCAATTCTGACTTTATATCTCACTTTACATCTCGCAATTCTGACTTTATATCTCACAATTCTGACTTTATATCACACAATTCTGACTTTATATCTCGCAATTCTGACTTTATATCTCACAATTCTGACTTTATATCACACAATTCTGACTTTATATCTCGCAATTCTGACTTTACATCTCGCAATTCTGACTTTATATCTCACAATTCTGACTTTATATCACACAATTCTGACTTTACATCTCGCAATTCTGACTTTATATCTCACAATTCTGACTTTATATCACACAATTCTGACTTTATATCTCGCAATTCTGACTTTATATCACGCAATTCTGACTTTATATCTCACTTTACATCTCGCAATTCTGACTTTATATCTCACAATTCTGACTTTATATCACACAATTCTGACTTTATATCTCGCAATTCTGACTTTATATCTAGCAATTCTGACTTTACATCTCGCAATTCTGACTTATAACTCACAATTTTGACTTTATATCTCGCAATTCTGACTTTACATCTCGCAATTCTGACTTTATATCTCACAATTCTGACTTTATATCACACAATTCTGACTTTATATCACACAATTCTGACTTTATATCACACAATTCTGACTTTATATCTCACAATTCTGACTTTATATCACACAATTCTGACTTTATATCTCGCAATTCTGACTTTATATCTCGCAATTCTGACTTTACATCTCGCAATTCTGACTTTATATCCCGCAATTCTGACTTTACATCTCACAATTCTGACTTTATATCTCGCAATTCTGACTTTACATCTCGCAATTCTGACTTTATATCACACAATTCTGACTTTATATCTCGCAATTCTGACTTTATATCTCGCAATTCTGACTTTACATCTCGCAATTCTGACTTTACATCTCACAATTCTGACTTTATATCTCGCAATTCTGACTTTATATCTCACAATTCTGACTTTATATCTCGCAATTCTGACTTTACATCTCGCAATTCTGACTTTATATCCCGCAATTCTGACTTTACATCTCACAATTCTGACTTTATATCCCGCAATTCTGACTTTACATCTCACAATTCTGACTTTATATCTCACAATTCTGACTTTACATCTCGCAATTCTGACTTTACATCTCACAATTCTGACTTTATATCTCGCAATTCTGACTTTACATCTCGCAATTCTGACTTTATATCTCGCAATTCTGACTTTACATCTCGCAATTCTGACTTTATATCTCGCAATTCTGACTTTACATCTCACAATTCTGACTTTATATCTCGCAATTCTGACTTTACATCTCGCAATTCTGACTTTATATCTCGCAATTCTGACTTTATATCTCACAATTCTGACTTTATATCTCGCAATTCTGACTTTACATCTCACAATTCTGACTTTATATCTCGCAATTCTGACTTTATATCTCACAATTCTGACTTTATATCTCACAATTCTGACTTTATATCTCACAATTCTGACTTTATATCTCGCAATTCTGACTTTATATCTCGCAATTCTGACTTTATATCTCGCAATTCTGACTTTATATCTCGCAATTCTGACTTTATAACACAATTGCGACTTTATATCACGCAATTCTGACTTTATATCACGCAATTCTTACTTTATAACACAATTCTGACTTTATATCTCGCAATTCTGATTTTATAACACAATTGTGACTCAATATCACGCAATTCTTACTTTATAACACAATTCTGACTTTATATCTCGCAATTCTGATTTTATAACACAATTCTGACTTTATATCTCGCAATTCTGACTTTATATCCTGCAATTCTGACTTTATAACATGCCTTTCTGACTTTATAACACAATTGTGACTTTATATCTCTCAATTCTGACTTTATAAAATAATTGTGACTTTATATCTCGCAATTCTGATTTTATAACACAATTGTGACTTTATATGATGCAATTCTGACTTTATAACACAATTCTGACTTTATATCACACAATTCTGACTTTATATCTCGCAATTCTGACTTTATATCACGCAATTCTGACTTTATATCTCGCAATTCTGACTTTATATCATGCAATTCTGACTTTATAACATAATTGTGAGAAATAAAGTCAGAATTGCAAGATAAAAAGTCGCTTTTTTATTTTTCATTCTGTGTCGAAAACAAGCTTCCAAACAAAACAGAAAAAATGAAAATGAAAAAATGAAAATGAAAAAATGAAAATGAAAAAATACTAAAACTTTCAAATTAAATAAAAAACATACAACATAAAAATACATTGCGAAATATTAACAAAATCTACAATAATATCTCAATGATGGCACCATGCAGTCTGAAGTAACCCAGAATCTGCTCGATGGAAGCCTCAGTTATAACGCAGGCAGGGCTGTTGGAGTCGGTTATTGGTGTAGACACACAGACTGCGGTTATCATCAGTGAGCGTGATATGGCTTTGGAAAGCACACGGTCTCAGAGGACGTCAGTGTGGACACAGACAGGTGTGACGCTAAAAGAGACAGATAAATATGCTTGGGAGGACAGAGTAGTTTGCTGGCTCATTCAGGCGGGCAGACAGACACCTTCAGCCTCTCAGTGGGAATCTGGACTAATAAATCAATGCCTCCACCATGACACTGCGTGTGTGTGTGTGTTTGCAAGGTGAAACTGCACGATAAAACAATACTGTGTTAATCTACACTGACATTATCAGCGGTGGTAATTGATATAAGCATGCATTTTTCAGTTTTCTGTGACATTTCCATTAAAATTGTCGAGCATTTTCTGTTTGTTTCATTTGCCCCCAAATTCTGTTTAATTCCATTTTAATAGCTTAATTACTTTCAATTTAATTGATAAAACTTCATCAATTGTAATACATTTTTTTAAAATTGCAATGATAATAGTGAGCTATGAACTATTATTTTAATGAATATTTTCTGTTTCTTTTGATTATTTTAATTTCTTCTATGTAAACCACTTTGAATTGCCATTGCGTATGAAATGTGCTTTATAAATAAACTTGCCTTGCTTAGTTCGCCTATTACATTTTTTAAAGAAACTCTATTGTGTTTTAATAATTCTGTGTTTTATGATTAAATAAAAAATTAAAAAGGTGGTAGACAAATAAACGGACACATCTTTAATCAATCTTTGAGTAATTGATTAATCAATCTTTTAAAATGTAATCAAATGAAGTGTAAACATTTTGGCGCAAACAAAGTGCAGCACAACCGAGGTTAAAAGTGGAAAAACTCGGAAATAATCAAGTTAAACTGAACTTTTATTTTGATGAGTTGTCGTGAAGATTCTGCCACAGAATAAAAAATAAAAAGTGTATTTTATCTAGGGTTAGTTTCATCTCGCGATTCTGACTTTTTTCTCACAACTGTGAGTTTACATCATTTTATCTTAGAATTGCATGATATATAATTTCAGACTTGTGAGATATAAACTCGCAATTCAGACGTTTTCTCTCTAAAGCTTTTTTAATCTCGCCATTCTGAATTGATAACATGCAATCGGAAGAAATAAAGTCTGAATCGCGTGACATAAACTCGCAAAAAAAAATACACAAATCTCTCGTCTCAGGGGGATATGAGGGTGATAATTTGAAAATACTACAGCTTTCCAACTAATACAAAGCTTAATCCCGATAGTCAACACTACGTTCTTTATCTCTTTGTCTATAATTTGAATGCAGATCCAATGTTTGATCATGTCACCATGAAAGCCACGGCTACTGTGACAGTAATGGCAATAAATATTACGAGGCGATAGTCGCGCATATGCTAGTAAGTGCCATGTGTTCGGATGTAATGGGTTTTATCAAGCAGAAGCCAAAGCAAGCTTGGCATCGTTCCATGCGACTCCTCAGAGAGCCAAACACTAATTTGGCACAAAAACATTGTGGATATCTGAGTTTTGGATCTTGATTCTCACCACAGCCAACATGCATGAATATACTGATGCATTGTGTAAATATAATTCAGCTGGAAGGCACGACAGACACTGACTGACTGAAGCTTTTGTCTCACTGAAAGGTCACATGGCTAATTTCTGGTCACTTAATTGCATGTTCACATGGTGATGTTGACAGGCGGCCCTCGGCTATTACAAGAGAATGCATTATTAATACGATGTGTACCTCATGCATAAATAAATAAAGCAGTCTTTGTGGTCTGAAGTGTCGGGCGCAACTCAAATCCTGAACGTAAAGGTACATTAAAGCAACACACACACACACACACATGCACAGAGTGATTAGAGGAATTAAAGGACAGAGACAAAGCCAAGGTGATTTCAAGCCATACTGACCTCTTGGTTCTAATGCATTGTCTACTTTGTCATCGACAAAAACGCGGTCATGAACGCCTATGGTTTTCTCGCAGCCATCTACAAAAACAGAAGAAATGAAAAAGATACTGTAAGCCGGTCATGTTAGTGATAAATCAGCACCTGCCAATCAAAGGAAAGCCCGTGACATCACACACACAAGCATTAAAGTGTGAGAAGCTCTGACAGAATCATACGTGTGTGTGTGTGTGTTTTATAATCAATGACACTTACTTGGTGGTCTCACAAACACTTTCAGCTTGAGGCACGACCTTTTCCCGGTTTCTGTGATCATGGATGCTGTAAAACACAAAGAACAGATAAGCAGGGGTGAGTACACACACACACCTAACAAGAGGAAGATATCTTAGTCTGACGCTACACACACACACACACTATGAGCTGAGGCTTGCGGGTGTATTTTGTGGTCTGAAAGAGGAAATTGGCCCGTTCCTGAGGAATCTGAAGGGTGTGTACACACACACACGCACGCACGGCGCCTGCGGGGTGAAGAAAGCAACGTCACGCTGTCATTTGTGGTTTTCTGTCACTCGTAGTCAGTCTGATGGTTTATCAGCCGGGACTCGAGAGTTATGAGCACAAATACACCAGACTGAACTCAAAAGAGGAAAATCACACTGAAATTATAGAGTGACTTCATCTCAGGTTATTTTTAGCCAAACATGTGTTTCTTGAATGCTGCATTTAAAGGTCAAGTAGGAAAGGAAACATCACAAATACGATCCTCCACATTTTCTCAACTGTTTGACTGAATGAAATGGAGATTGAAGTGTGTTACGGTCGGAGGACATGGTGATGTGCAGAGTACATTTAGTACAGCACTTAAAGGGATAGTTCACTTTTTGGGATGTTTTAGCTCCAAGATGTAGGTGTCTAATCTTTTAATATACCATCATCTTGCCCTTTAGGGACTCAAACGAGATCGCAACAATATCTCTAATTGTGCTTAAAGGACAACTCCGCCGCAAAATGAACCGTTGGTCTAATTACACATTGTTACCTAGTCAACCGTTATCTGAGATTTGTTTTCATGATTGCCGAATTAAATAGTTTTATCTCTAAAAACAGTTTAGCCTATAACGCTAGTATAACGCTAGTCTATAGGGCATAGAGTAATGACAAATACAAATCGCTTGTTATTACCACTAACAAGGCTCAAAATAGCCCCACACTAACATAATAAGGGTTCCTACATTCAAAACGAAGCATTGAGAACTTTGTCAGTGTCCATACAGTTTAATAAGAAGATATTTTATACACACCGTCAACTTCGCGAAAACAGGAAGAAGCCATCTTTGAAAATAGTCTCTACCAGTCGATCTACGAACGCCGATCCAAGTGCGCTGGTGAGATGTGAATAGGGTGATAAGGTGAGCGCGAACAGTAGGCTACATGTACATATTGAAGAGAAGAAAACGGTTTGTGTTTGTGTTTCTTCCGGAAACAACGGACCATATGAGATTCTGCACAGTTCAGCGCACTTGGATCGGCGTTCGTAGATCGACTAGTAGAGACTATTTTTCAAAGATGGCTTCTTCCTGTATTCGCGAAGTTGACTGTGTGTATAAAACATCTTCTTATTAAACTGTCTGGACACTGACAAAGTTGTCAATGCTTCGGTTTGATTGTAAGGACCCTTATTATGCTATCCTCGTGTTACTGTGGGTTATTTTGAGCCTTGTTAGTGGTAATAACGAGCGATTTTTATTTGTCATTACTCTATGCCCTATAGACTAGCGTTATAGGCTAAACTGTTTTTATAGATAAAACTATTTACATTTGCTATCATGAAAACAGATCTCAGATAACGGTTGACTAGGTAACAATGTGTAATTAGACCAAAGGTTCATTTTGCGCCGGAGTTGTCCTTTAAATCAGCCAAGATGCCAAAGATCTCAATATGAACTCAAATTTTCCAAAGACCAAAATACCTAAAATAGCAACTATGGAATGCCAAAGCTGACTTAATTGAAAATAAATATACGAAGAAATGTAAAAAAAAGTGCAAATACATAAATAAATATATAAAGAAATGTAAAAAAGTACAAATAAATTAGTATTTATACAGTACTTTTATTTCCTTATTTATATGTATACTTGTATTTTTTCAAACATGTATTTATATTCATTTATTTATACATTTATTCATTTCCACATTCATTAATGTATTTATTCTACGGCTGTTAAACGATTACAATCTCGATTGTTTGTGTTTACAATACAATATATGTGGGTGCACTGTGTATAATTATTTTATTTATATAAATACACACACATGCTTGTATATTTAAGAAATATTTTCATGTATATACTGTTTATATATAATTTATATAATATATATATATATAAATATTTTATATATAAATAATATTTTTCCTTAAATATACATGCATGTGTGTGTATTAATATATATACAAAATAATTATACACACATATATTATGTAAACACAAACTTTTATTTTGGATGCGATTAATCAGCCCTAATTTATTTTTTTTAATTAAATTTATTTAAATAAATTTATTATTTTTAATTAAGTCAGCTTAGCCATTCCACATGCAACAGTCAATATTTGACTCATTAATGGCTATTTTTATTTCAACATAATAATTTGAGGAGAAAAGCAACAAATCCGACAGTTGAAAGTCCCTGAAATATAATTGTTCCTCCCATCTCATAAGTGAGTCTCTTCATGTTATTCTGTGAGCTTTATTAAGATGGACAGCATAGAGCAAGTTCAAAGTGTGGACTAATTAAGGCTAATTACTCTCAAAATGGGATTTGCTTCTGTGATCGTTGGTGTAAATGTGGTGTGGCGCTCGTCCCTGGATGTGCATTACAGTTTCCTACTTGATTTGATCTTTTATATAAAGGCTATTATGAAAGTAAATTGTATCAAGATTGCTTCAGTACTGATGTCCCACAAGACAAACTCTTAAAATGTGAACATTATTTCTCAAGATTTAATTGCAAAATATTACACCTATAACTGACTCAGACTCTTTCATTGAACATATCGACTATCAAACTGTCATACACCGATAAAACTGTGTGTGATGAAATGCATTACACTCTATTCTGATCAGTATTCTGTGGCGTTTGAGTTTATTAATGGTTAAAACGAACACCTGAAGCATGTCATGAATCCCGACGGAGTTTCACACGGGAAGAGCCGAATAAACCGTCAACAAACAGAGAAATAAATGACTGTCAGTGTATTCCTCTGTGCTCACGAAACTGGACTTTCACAGCAGTAACAACACTTCTTTGTTTCGTCGTTTGTTTACTGAGGGTCAGATTCGGTTGAGTCTGACCTACGAATTTGTCTCGCTAACTATTTTATGCGTTCAATCCCTGGAGAGTGACATCACATCCTGTTGATCATATTTGTTGTCAAATCCAAAACTATTAGATGCATGAAATTTACCAAAAGTGACAGTAAAGACGTTTATAATGTTATAAAAGATTATATTTCAAATAAAATGTGATTCTTTTGAACTTTCTATTCATCAAAGAATCATGAAAAATAAACTGTTTCCACAGAAGGATCATGTGATCAGGATGTGACACTGAAGACTGGAGTAATGATGCTGAAAATCACAGAAATAAATTAAACTTTACTATATATTCACTTAGAAAACACATGATTTACATGATAATAATATTTCACTATTTTTCCAGTATTTTTGATCAAATAAACGCAGCGTTGGTGAGCAGAAGAGACGTATTTCAGAAAGTTCAGAAAGTGCACTCTGGATTGTGCCGTAATGAAACGAACACATTTCCAGGAACTCCGTCTGCATGAGGCTTAATAATCAAACAAATTTTCCGATTGTAAATCTGGCAAGCAAATGCTGCTGTCAGAGTCGGCCCACCCTTCGGGCAAGTATGCAAATCAGCATTTATTTCATTTGACAAAGACAACATACGAGCACAGAGCTATTAAATATGCAGCGCTCTCGTTCTCCGCTGTAGCCGACGGCGGATCTTTCTCAATTTGTCCTCATCCATAAAGAGCCTCGACTAAGAGCATCAGCGGAGAGGAAGAGCGTTCTTTAGTGCTGTCTCTCATCATGCACATGCAAATCAAAGAGAAAGTGTGTGTGTGTGTGTGTTTGAGAGAGAGAGAGAAATATATTTAAGTGTTTCAGCTTCACATGTATAGCCTATACTAAGTTAGTCAATTACACAACCGCATGCATTTTATGTAGTTAGTTTTTATAGACTAAAGTTAAATGGAAATGGAAATGAAACATAAAATGTGTTGTTAAAAAGACCATTACAAAGACAGATGTACATTAAAGGAAGGACCTGAAACATCTAGCCACCAGAATACACTGTACACTGAAAAAAAGGCTTCTCTAACTGAGTATTTTTTTTTCTTTCAAATATCTAAAAAATAAAAATCTGCCAATGGGCTAAGAAAAATCATCTTAAATTAAATGCAAAATAAGATTTTTTTTTTCTTCAGATATTTTTTCTGGTTTTAAGCAAAACACACTTAATATAGATTCTCTCTAATTCAATTCAATAATAGCATTTAATAGTATTTTTTGCAGTGTATCACTGAGACTTGAGGGTGCACGACACTTTTCACCTAACAATAAAGCACAAAAAACACCCTAGCAACACCCTGGCAACCACCCTAACTGGATAGCAACACTCATGGCAACCATGCAGAACACCCTACCAACTACACTCTAATACCCTAACAATCACATAGAAACACCCTGGCAATCACACAGAGCATCCCTAGCATCTGCATAGAAATGTAACACCCTGGCAACTAGCCAGAACACCATAGCAACCACATAGAACACCCTAGCAGCTGCATAGTAACACCCTGGCAACCACACAGAATACCCTACCAACCACCTGTTAGAAACCAAAAGAACACTGTAGGAACCACAAAGCAACATTCATGGCAACCATACAGAACACTCTATTAACCACATAGCAACATCCTGGGAACAAACCAGAACACCCTAGCAACCGCACATAACCCTCAGCAACCAAAAAGTAAAACCCTGACAACTGCAGCGAACATCATTGCAACCACCAGAACAGCCTAACAACAGTCTGGCAACCACCCTAGCAACTGCATAGCAACGCTCCAAGTTTTAACTAATGATTTTTACAATGGAAACTAATCAATCACTGGACACGTTTTTTTCTAGATCTGCTGTACAGCCGAAACAATCTTTGTTGCCTGCTTTGAAACAATCTGTATTTGGCAACTGCATTATAGCCACACAGAATACCCTAACCACATGTTGTAGAA